ACATAATAATACACACATATATAGAGAAACTGAAAGAGATAGAGAAAGAGAGAGAGAGAGAGAGAAAGAGAGAGAGAGAGAGAGAAAGAGAGAGATAGAGAGAGAGAGAGGGAGAGAGAGAGAGAGAGGGAGAGAGAGAGAGAGAGAGAGAGAGAGAGAGAGAGAGAGAGAGAGAGAGAGAGAGAGAGAGATTCAACAAATAATTTCATACATTCTAATAACCTTTGCCGCAATTTAAACATGCATACATTTATATAAATACATACAAGTTTTACAATGTACACACGTTTATGCATACATGATAATACACACATAGAGAAAAGGAGAAAGAGAGAGAGAGAGAGAGAGAGAGAGAGAGAGAGAGAGAGAGAGAGAGAGAGAGAGAGAGAGAGAGAGAGAGAGAGAGAGATATTCAAAAATAATTTCATATATTATTCTAAAAACCTTTATATCATTTTAAACATGCATACATTTATATCAATACAAACACGTTTTAGATCAGTTTATGTATACATAATGGTACACACATACTAATAGAAAGAGAGAGAAGTGTGGTGGCGAGTGAGAGAGAGAAAAATAAAGAGAGAGAGAGAGTGAGAGAGAGAAAGATAAAGAGAACAAGAGATAGATAGATAGACATATAGATAGATAGATAGATAAAGGCTAAAGAAGATAAAGACAGTCAAATATGTACATTTTACAAAATTTCTGTATACATATATAATGTTATTATGCACACACATAGAGAAACAAGAGAGAGAGAGAGAGAGAGAGAGAGAGAGAGAGAGAGAGAGAGAGAGAGAAAGAAAGAGAGAGAGGGAGAGAGAAAGAGAGAGAGGGAGAGAAAGAGAGAGAGCGAGAGAGTGAGAGAGAGAGAGAGAGAATCTAAAGGACAAGAAAACAAACCAAAAAGAGAGAAAAAAAGGAACTCATTCTTACCTTGAAAGGACTCATAGGCCGCCTTTTCCTTGTCTCGGGTCCGCTATAGCCGGGTGTAGTCCTCCACTTCATCACCATCGTGGAGCTGTCGCTTGCCTGTCTTGCGATTCCGAAGTCTGCCAGAACAGCACGATCCTGGTCATCCAAGAGGATGTTTCGCGGCTTGACGTCTTGGTGGAAGATGTGGAGACCGTGGATGTACTGCAGAGCGCTGGCCACGTCGAGAATGTGTCGGAGGATCCGAAGTTCTTCCACAGGGTGGTCGGACGACATGGTGTCGCGAAGTGTGCCGTTCTTGAAGTATGTCGACAACATGAAGCCGTGGTGATCATCCATAGCAAACGCTATCATCTTGAGGATGCGGGGGTGGCGCAAATCACGAAGGAAGCCGACTTCAGAGAGAAAGTTGCCTTTACACCCCTCCGTCTCAAAAGTTACGATTTTCACCGCTACTTTCAACGACGAGTTGTGTTTGGCCGAGGCCAGAACAACCTCTCCTACGGCGCCACTCCCTAGACAGGGGCCTCTCACCAGGTTGAAGGAGTTGAAAAAAGCGTCATGCTGTTCAACGGCATCCATGCTGGGTCGTGCAACTTCGGTAATATGAAACGATGATAATCTCCACAAACGATACGTATCCTCGGAACGTCCAGAGAAAAGTGACCACTTGCTGACCAGCGTCCCTTATATACTCAGCCTGCTGGCCGGGAAGTGATTGAAGTTTTCTGTCCCTGATTAAGGAATTGTTGTAGTGTTTTGACATGTTCTTAGAGGGCCCGGAGGTGAGAACCGGAGTCTTGGCCTGCCTTTGTTTATTGTTTTAAAAGATATATAGAAGCTGGTCTTTAAGCAAAGTAAATATTATTGGAGCTTGGTTACCACTCTTGAAGTTAACAAGTCTATTGTCCTATTGTCTAGTGACTGCCAGTGAGCTCGTGCCATCTGGTGAAATGCACAGACAAGGGGGGCAAACTGCGTATGTTGTAAGCACGGCGGTTTGCATCAAAGACATGCCAACAGCTCAGCGTCTATTATGTACCGGGCTTGCTGGCCGGGAAGTGATTCAAGTTTTCAGTCTGTGGTTACGGCATTGTTGCGCTGTTTTGATAATGTCTTAGAGGATCGGGGGTGAGAACAGGGGCCTTGCCTTGTTTTAGTAAATTTTTTCGTTTGTTTATTTTTCTTTGTTTTTTAGAGGCCCTTGATGCTTTCTTGTTTGAAAGGGATTTCTAAAAATGTTTGAATATTGTTCCTTGTTTCGCTGGTGAATGAATAGCAATCAGTCAGGTCTTTCAAATTTGCAAAATAATATTTCTGAAGTTCGTTTTGTTTGTCTAGCTGAAACACTGAAACATGAGCAATTTTTTTAAAAGGACTAACGTATTATAAATTTACCTTTTTGAAAAGAAATGTTTGTTGCAATAACATACACATAATTAAGAACTAGTTTTACTTGTCTATTTCATTTCTACTTCGCCTCCATCGGTGCCGAACTGATAAATAAGACAAAGTAATTGCCATGTATTTTTTATTAAGGAAGAAAAATAGCAAACCTGTCTTAGTACTCGAGAAATATTACTTGAGTTTGGATTTTATGCCTGACGTTATTTTATTGTCCTATTGTCGATCTGGTGACGCCAGTGAGATCTTTCCACCTGGTGAAATGCACAGACAAGGGGAGCAAACTGCGTATGTTGTAACCACGGCGGCTTGCTTCAAAGACATGCCAACAGCTAAGCGTCTATTATGTACCGGGCTGGCTGGCCGGGAAGTGATTCAAGTTTTCAGTCTGTGGTTACGGCTTTGTTGCGCTGTTTTGATAAAGTCTTAGAGGGTCGGGAGGGGAGAACCAGGGCCTTGGCCAGCTTTTGTTTGTTTGTTTTTTTGTGTTTTTTGTTATTGAGAGACATATGGATAGAATTACAAAAGAGGCCAACACAGAACCAGACGCCCTAAATGACTTACTCTTCGCTGATGACCAAAGCCTGGCACACAAAAATGAACGAAGTCTCCAACACCACATCACCAGGTTAAACGAAGAATGTAACAACTACGACATGAAGATCAACATCAACAAAACAGAGACAATAAAAGTAAGCAGAAAGCACTCAGGATACACATCAACAACAACAGTCTCAGACAGGTCCAAAAATTAAAGTACCTCAGAAGCATATTTACAGAGGATGAGTGACTGAACAGAGAAATTGAAACACGAGTACAAAAGGCCAATAATGATAGTTACCAGCTTACCCCATTACTGAAACATCCTAACATCCCCATGATAACAAAACTCAAAATGATCAACACCATATTATTCATCCCAACACTCACCTATCAATGAAAAACATGGACCACGAACAAGACATTAGAGCAAAGAATTACAACATGTGAAATACGATGCCTTAGAAAAGCAGTAAACAAGACCAGGCGAGACAAAATTAGAAACTCTGTAATCTTTCTTCCCTCGACACCCAAAAGGGTATAAGCGGCGGATAAAAGTGAAGTAAAAAGTATTGAGAGACATTTAAAGCATATAAGTTTGAAAGGGATT